AAGCGTGATCACTGGAACAGGATGTTTACTAGTCGGAGATTTCAAAACAGTACCGGAGTCCAGTATCGGAGACCCTGTTAGTGTAACAACGACAAGTGAACAGTTTCGTAGGCAAGGGATAAGGTACTGTCCGTAACTGGACCGAGTTAGCGCCACCCAGCTCACTGCGTACTGGCGGAGTGCGTCCTTGGCCCAGAAGTGAGCCGTGCGTCCTGACTGTGTGGGCGGATCGCGTGAAAAAAGGAGGGTAGATCGGCGTCTCTGCTCATTGACTTGGTGTCAGACAGCCACCCCGCCTTGTTGTCGGCTCGCGCCATTGTTCGCATTCTCGCGAAGTCGAACTCTTGACTTTCCTCCGGTGGACGGCCCGTTTGTACTGCAGCCCAGCCGTCCTCTTATCTGGTCTGTATATTAACAGCGACAGTAACAGCATAGAATTCGATAGAATACGGCCGATTATTCACCTACATCCTGCTGGTTCTTCGTCTGCATGGTTGTGGTCCAAAATCTCGCTGTTCCAGTGACCGCGCCTTTGCCTGATTTGCTTTACCAAGATGTTTGCCGAAATAGCAAAATGAGACTGAAATTGACATTTCTGATTCCTCTGGAGTGTTCTGTGTGCACCCTCCCAACTGTGATTTCTGCCTGGGTCAATGGGTTGCGAACCAAGCGCTCTACTAGCGGAACGCTGCCGGCGGCTCTGTGTGTATTTGCTGTTCATATGGCCTTATGATCGGAGCTGAATCGAGGCGTTTCGTTTTGCCTTACATATGCAGGGTACAGCTCTTCAAACAGGCGCTCGTGGTGTTCACAAGTCAATATTTCGAAGGGTTAATCCGCTGTACACCGGTGAACATCGTACGCATTTGAGTACTTTTGATTAGAGTCGATCAAGCACGAGCCCGTGACTTCGCATTAGGACGTTGAACTGCAAACACATTTGCTCGAGGCTGGAATAGTACCTGTTACGGCTGTGATCATGCCTGATCTAGCCGGCCTCAATGATATCACGGACGGTACTTCTCCATGCGGGACAATTGGTGGCAGCGGTCTGAAGAGTTCTACTCAGTCTCTACTCCAGCGGCGGAGACCAAAGATAGAAGGTCCAAAAACCACTTCCGTGTCCTGACGGACTGAGTTGAGCCAGGTTTTGAGTTGAACCTCTTCGACGTTTCTAATTAGGTAACGGTTTCAAGGCGAGGGCAGTAGCACTGAGCTCCTGAGGTTGGCGACGAAGAACGTGTCCAAATTACCTCAGTCTTCTTTCCTGAATGGCCCGGCATATACTTGTGATTTTGTCACAGCGAGTGCGGACTGTCTCATTTGAGACGAAGTCGGTGTACTTCACTCGAAGGATGGTCCATCAGACAGTAGTGGTCAAAGACTTCCAGTCTCTGCTTATCCTCCACGCGCACAGCCCAGCATTCGCATCCCTATAAGAGAACGGATCGCACAGATGCACAGTACACGCGGATCTTTGTAGAGATGGAAATATCTCGTCGGGTCCATAAGCACTTCCGAAGGCTGGAGAACACCCGTC